TCTCTCTCTCTCTCTCTCTATCCTGTGCTATGCTTATTGACATACACACGTCTGCCTGTGTATATGCATACAGTAGCAGGGGAAAACGATGCAGAACCGAGGAGACGAGTTCACTGGTATTGTGAATGCACCGACGGAGTCAGACTGGGCGACGATCGACTGGATCAGCTCTCACCACGAGGCGAACGAGCGGCGTGTGGCACGGCAGCACCGTTCTGGGGGTGGCTCCCTCTCTGCCCGCACGCGGAGTGCATTGACGCACAACGAAAGTTTCCTTGCCGCCCTTCTCACGGGTCTGGTGCTCGGCATCCTTGGCGTCTTCTGCGACGCGTGCGCCCACTGGGTGTCGGCGTTCCGGCTTGGCATCTGCGCCAACTTCTTCTGGCTTGGCCGCAACCTCTGCTGCGCGGAGCAGGAGGAGTGCAGTGGCTACTACACGTGGGGTGAGTTCTTTCTAGGTCGCGGTGACCGCGTAGCAGCCTTTGCCGACTTCTGCTTTTATGTTTTGCTATCCACGACCGCGGCGATGATTGCGTCCTTTGTATGTAAGGTGTACGCGCCCTACGCAGCCGGTGGTGGCATCAACGAGGTCAAGACAATTGTGTCGGGTCACCAAGTGCGCCGTTATCTCGGTGGCTGGACGCTCGTCACGAAGGCCATCGGCATGAGCTTCTCTACCGGTTCCGGTCTCGTCGTCGGGAAGGAGGGGCCGTTTGTACATATTGGTGCCTGTATCGGTGGCATGATCGCCAATCTGTTCCCGAGCTACCGGCTGGAGGCGAAGAAGCGTGAGCTCATCACGGCAGGTGCGGCAGGTGGCGTGGCGGTGGCCTTTGGTGCTCCTGTTGGTGGCGTCATCTTTGCACTGGAAGAGATATCAAGCTTCTACAACTTCAAGGCCATGATGGCAGCCCTCATCTGCGGCGTGACTGCAGTGCTGCTGCAGTCCCGCATTGATCTCTGGCATACGGGGCACATTGTGCAGTTCAGTGTGAATTACAAGCACAACTGGCACTTCTTCCAGCTTCCGCTCTTTGCGCTGATGGGGGTTGTGGGTGGTCTCCTCGGATCCCTATTCAACGCCGTCAACATCCGCATCATCCGCTGGCGCAAGGTGCGTTTCAAGATGTGGCGCGTGACAGAGGTGGCGGTCCTCGCCGCCGTGACCGCTGTCATTAACTTCGTCACGCCGTTTAGCTCGGGGAGTTTGCTGGAACTGCTCGGCGATGCATTTCAGGACTGCACCCCAAACAGCAAAATTGAGCTGTGCCAGACGAGCAACGTGCGCACCTTTCTCTATCTCCTCATCACGGCGACGGTAAAGTTGCTGTTGTGTATGTACACTGTGGGCACATTCCTCCCCTCCGGCATTCTCGTCCCATCGCTTACAATTGGTGCGTTGTATGGACGCGCGTTTGGTATCATGTGCCGCGCGTTGCAGGAGTCGTACGCGAGCTCGTACCTCTTTGCCGAGTGCTTTGACCAGGATCTCTGCGTCATACCCGGCGTGTACGCCATTGTCGGTGCGGCCGCCATGCTGACGGGCGTGACGCGCATGACCATCTGCCTTGCCATCATCATGTTCGAGCTGACCGGTTCGCTCGACTGCCTCGTGCCGGTGATTCTCGGCATTCTGTGCTCCAAGGCCGCGGCGGAGGGAGTTGGTGTGGAGGGCACGTACGAAATCGGCATTGCGGAGAACAACCTGCCCTTCCTCGACCCCAAGAGTGAGTGCTACATCGACGCCGTCGCGGAAGACGTGTACGCGCAGCGGACGTTCACGGTGTTGACCGCGTACGGCTTCACAGTGGGCCAGCTGAACCAGCTGCTGCAGAAGATGGAGGTGTCGGGCTTCCCGGTGGTGAACTCGCTCACCGACATGACGCTGATCGGGTATGCGCCGACCAAGAAGATCGTGCGCGCGATACAAGTGGCGGCGGCGAAGGACAGTCGCGTCAACTTTGACACCGCCGTCCGCTTCGCCGCAGCGCCGTCGGCGGAGCTGCCAGACGGGCAGCTGGAGATCGACGCGACGAGCGTTGTGGAGAGCCCGCTGCTGCAGGTAGAGCCGGCGTGCCCCGTCTCGCGCATGCTGTACCTCTTCAAGTCGCTGGGCGTGCGCCACATCATGGTGTGCCACCACTCCAAGTTCGAGGGCTTCATCAGCAAGAAGGACTTCATCAAATTCCTGCGCGACGCGGAGCGGGACGAACACATGGGGGACGCCGAGTTGAAGCGGGAGCGGCGACGGCAGCAGCAGCAGGAGCGGAGGTCGTGAGTGCGCGAAAGCGAGAGCAAGAGCGAGTGTGGGGACAAAAAGCGAATTCAACGAAGAAAGGGACACAAGAACAAGGGGGAAAAGATGAGAAAAATGTGTGTGTGTGTTTTACTGTTGATGCCAGCAACCCCATACTTAGGGGGTTTCGTGTGAAAAGCAATTAAGCGTCGAAGATTGTCTTTTTTTTCTCTCCTATTCTGTGTCGTCGTTGTTGGTTACGTGATGATGGGGAGTGTTACTGCCCTCGGGGG